ATTAAATCCGATGATCTCCCAAGTGGCGCCAAAACACCACGCCGCATTGTTTACTCACGCATATTTGTTCAGCAATCGCATCGTCAATGCGAGGGTGTGCGCGTCTTTGGGAAGCTTCATTTGGTCGTCAAGCATTGATGCGGGGAACTTCGAATCGGTTCGATCTCCTTGTGACATGACTTCATGTCATTGTTCTTTTCGTTTACCGACAGCTTGCCTGGCGACAATGAAGGAGACATGATGACGATAGAAGCGGAAGCTGCAACGAGGTTTGCTTTAATAGGAGGAAGGTCTTATCGTTACGAAACAAACTGAGCAACGAGAATTATGAAAGTAATGAAGGATGTATGACGCAATGCGAGACAATATACGAAGAGATATGACATGGAATTTGCGCAAGAAACGAAATGTTGTGCGTACCGATACACATTCTGACTGTTCATTCTAAATTTCTTACGAAATTTGGTTGAAAATTGCTTGAAAACGGCTGAAAATGCGTGAAGAACGGCTGAAAAGGCATTCGAAACCGTTTTAAATCCGAATTCAAATCTTCCTTTTTCCTCGTGGGTCTCGATACGAACTTCCAAATCCTGTGATGCGCCTTTAAATTTGGCGCGAAAGCGAAATTTCAAATTATTTCCGTTGGCCTAAAATCTCTTCGTCGGTCTCGCCACGAACGACTACCGTGCGCCCATGCGACTCTAAGTCGCCGGCGCGAAATTCAAACGGCAAGTAACTCGTTTACAGGGTGGCTGAAAAGTATTGAGACACTTGTTATGATGGCTCTTGGCACCGTGCCAAGTCGTATTTTCGAAAAGTTTCGTATTATTTCGAAAATAGGGAGCGTATATAAGCCGACATTAGAGCCATTTCCCATCACTTTATCTCTTCACGAAGTTATGCGAGCTTCTCCTCATCGCCAAACCATTGCCAAGCTGTTCAACGACGGCATCTCCATCGGTGACATCGCTCGAAGACTTCTTCTTCCGAGAGCAACTGTCTATCGAGTTGTGCAACAATTGAAAGATCGAGGACATGTGTTGGAGCTTAAGAAAAGCGGAAGACCTCGTACTGTCAACACTCGCCGGACTCGTGGCATCATCAAGAAGAGAATCACACGAAATGATGCGGTCAGCATGAACCAAATGGCTTCATCGCTCGGAATCTCAAGACAATCGGTTCAATCCATTGTGAAAAAGGACTTGGGTCTGAACAGTTATCGGCTCCTTCGTGGCCAATACCTCACAGAACAG